ACAACCTGCAATATGCAGATGATACAACCTTGCTTGCTGTAAGTGAAGAGGACTTAAAGTACTTACTGATAAAGATCAAAGAGCACAGCCTTCCGGGTGGATTACATCTCAATGTAAAGAAAACAAAAATCCTCACCACTGGACCAATACACAACGTTCTTATCAACAGAGAAAAGATTGAAGTTGTGAAGGACTTCATTCTTCTTGGATCAGCTATCAACACTCATGGAAGCAGCAGTCAGGAAATCAAATGACATATTGCATTAGGCAAATCTGCTGCACAAGACCTTTTTAAAGTGTTGAAGAGCAAAGATGTCAGCTTGAGGACTAAGGTGCACCTGACCCAAGCTATGGTATTTTCAGTTGCTTCACATACATGAAAGTTGGACATTGTATAAGGAAGACCATAAAATAATTGATGGGTTTAAATTACGGTGTTGGTGAAAAATATTAGCAGTACCTTAAACTACCAAAAGAAAAGAAAAAATTGCCTTCGATAAATACAGCCAGGATGTTCCTTAGCTATCTGGAGTTTTTCTCTCTTCCTTTGGGCGTGGTATCAGGAAGGACCAGTCCCTGGAAAAACAGCCATCGTGCTTGTTAAAGTTGGGGGGTCCGTAAAAAAGAGGTAGACTCCCAGTGAGATTGATTGACACATGGCAGCAAAATGGACTTACCCTAACAACTGTGAGGCTGACACAGGACCCCGGGCAGTGTCCTTCTGTTGTGTGATGGTTGGTGGTGGTGGTGTGCTGTGGAATCAGTTCCCACTCATAGAGACCTTGCATAGATTTCTGAGGCTGTAAATCTTTACAGGAACAGAAAGCCTCGTCTTTCTCTCATAGAACAGCTGGTAGTTTCGAACTGCTGACCTTGAGGTTAGCACCCGGCTCATAACCACTAAGCTACCAGAGCTCCTTTCTGTTGTGTGTAGGGTTGCTGTAAGCCGGTACCGACTCAGTGGCAGCTAACAACAGCAACAATCTCAATGTGAGCAGATCACCGTATCATTCATTAGAGGAGTCGCTGGGTGGGTTTGAACCAAAGACCTTTAGATTAATTGAACCAGTAGGACTTCTCAAGCTTCTGGTGATGGCTGTTGGCTTGTAGTTGCATCTTCCCTTAAGCCTTCTCCCTCTGTCTCGTCTCTCATCTCTTGTAGAATGGTACAGTGAGATTACATTAGGACTCTGATAAAGAGCCCTGGTATCACAGTGGGTTAAGTGTTGAGCTGCTAACTGAAAAGTCAGAGGTTCAAGCCCACCAGCCACTCAGCAGGGTAGTCCTCTCCTGTAACGATTTCCAGCCTGGACATCCCATAGGGTCGCTATGAGTTGGAATCGATTTGGCAACAGCAGGATTGGTTTGGTTTCTACTCTGATCTGACCTTTTGAGTAACTGTCCTTCACATCTGCAAAGACCCTATTTGTAAATAAGGTCTCATTCACAGAGAGGGGTGGTAGGGCAGCAGCATCTTTTGGGGGCCACATTTTGTCTGTAACAGTTTCCGGGCACCAACACCGGCCCACGGCTGCTGTTGTTTGTTGTTATGAAGTGTTGTTGAGTTGCTTCCAGCTCATAGCAAACCCTGTATAGCATCTCCGAGGGGCAGCTGGTGGGCTTGAACCGCCAACCTTGGGATTAGTCATCCAGTGTTTATCCTACACTGTCAACATAGTCTCATGTTTCAAGCAATACCAGAAACTTGTGTTGTTTTTTTAGACAACATCTCCCAAATTAATTCTGCCTAATAAAGAAATAAAGAAAAACATCTCATTGTCAACTAAGCAAAGCCAGACCCTGAGCCCTGCCCCAACTCTAGGCAGCATGCCTGTGGGCTTAATGGGCAGGCTCGCCTTTACGGCTGGGGGTCCTGACACTGGGAGAAAGGGGCGTGAGGAGTTCTAAAAACTGACAGATTCCTCATCAGCGCTCTGAGCCTCTCAGGGATGGGGGTCTGATGTCTAGACATCAGAAGGAAGCCCCTTTGCCGCACACTTCTTCATTCAGGGACCCCAGTCAGATCCTTGGGGACCTTCACAGGGCAGAGTCAAAAGGCCCAGCCAGAGTCCACAGATGCTCCAGTGGCACTTTTTTATTCTTATTCTAATTTTACTGTTGCCCGGCCAGACCTCGGAGACGATGCTGGTGTTCCTTCCAGACCACCGCAATAAAGCGAACGCCACAAATAAAACAAGCCGTGCCCATATGGTGAGAGGGGTTCCCAGGGCACGTGGAAGTTATGTTGACACTATGCAGTTGTTAAATGTGCAGTGTTGTTGTTCATTGCTGTCGAGTTGGTTCCAGTCCTATATAGGGTTTCCAAAGAGCGACTGGTGAGCTTGAACCGGTAACCTTGTGGTTCATGATGAAAAAGATTAAAATAGTGTGAAAGTGATCAAAGTGGGACACAGACAGGAAGTGTAGGAAAACAGCGCCAACTGACTGGCTGGACGTAGAGTTGCCACAAACTTTAAATTTGTAGGGGGAAAAAAAGGAGTATCTGTGGAATGCAGTGAAGCAAGCTGCAGTAAAGCCATGCATGTCTGTGGGATATTTATGAACTATTTCAGCAGCAAACCAAACCCACTGGGCTACCCTGTAAAGATTTAAAATAAAATAAAAAGCATTGGCATCTGTCAGTAAGGATCAGCACTGGACTGCTAACCTCAAGGTCAGTGGTTCAAGCCCACCAATCTCTCTTGGAAATTCAATATAGAGTCTCTGTGAATCGGAACTTACTCAAAGGCACTTAACAACAGCACATAGTTCAAGGGGCTAGAAGTCCATGTTCAGGGTGCTGGCTCTTCAGGGGAAGCTTCAGGAAGGCTGTCCCTGTCTCTCTCTCCCCACCCCCCCCCCCCACCCCCTGCCGTCTCTCGTTGTCTCGCCCTGGGAGAAAGTCCTTATCTCCTTCCTCTGCTTTCTCCTGGTTTCTTGGTGCTTTCCACATGGCATCAGTCTCCGTGTTGTGTTGTTTTGTTATTGTTAAGTGCCATCGAGTTGGTTCCGACCCATAGCGACCCTGTGTAGAGTTTCTGAGGAGCAGCTGGTGAACTTGAACCAGCTGGTGAGCTTGAACCACCGACCTTGCAGTTGAACCAGCTTTGCAGTCTGGCACATTAACCCACAGCGCCACACCAGGACCGCCAAATCCCTTCTGGCTTACAGCCTCAGATTTCCAAAGAGCAGCTGGTGGGTTTGAACCACTGACCTTGAGGTTAACAGTCCAGTGCTTATCCTACAGTGCCACACCAGAACTCCATCTTTCCTCATAGTTATAAATTTGGGCAGAAAACAGTTCCCCACCCCTGCCGTATAGGGTTCCTATAAGTCGGAATCGACTTGCTGGTGTGAGTTTGATGGTTGATAACTTCTTAGTACAGAGCCAATCTTGCCTCCCTTAGCTCCTCCCGAGTCCTCCGAGTCCCCATTTGCTTGGCGCAGTGTTGAGAAAGGTCTGTCCTCTCACCTTCCACTGAATCCGAAGTTGTATGTTTTGGAGCCTCAGAGATGAGAAAGGTCCCTGCTTGTTGTGATAAGTAGCGAGTCTGAAGAACTGTTAATAAAGTCTATTATGGAGACTCATGAATGATGGAAACCTTATAATGGAACAATTTAGAATGTAATTGGTTCTAAACCGAATGAATACCTTTGGAACTCTGTACAGAGATCTAATATGTAAATTCCCAAGCAGCCTGATGTGATTGGCTGAGCTTTTGAGGATGGCACTTAATTACATTTCGGAACTGAAAATGGGTTGACCAGGTACAGATGCCTCTTGATGTTGAGCAATTGATTCATACTGTAAGCACTGGCATCGCATTTCACTGGGATCTGTCTACAATAGGATGGGCTCTGACAGTTTTTCCTTGGCTTAGTCCTATCAAGGTTAAGAGCAAACTGCTGCTGTCGGAGAGCCGGCATGTACCTGTTGTCTGTGTCTCGGATTTTGATTTGTGTCGATTGTAAAGTACAGCTTCATAACGAGCTCCATCCTCCCTGTCACTGATGCGTGGACACGTGGGGGCCTCCACTGGGCACAGAGGGTCTTTGCCCAAGCCCCTGCAGGACTGGGAGATTGTGGCTGTGACGTGTGTTGTGGTTGAAGATTGCTTTGTGTGTGACTGCAAAATAAAAAATTAAAAAAAGGCCCCAAGCATCCCACCCAGGGTACTCGCACCTCAACTGGGTTCATTCGATCATTTATTGCAAAGCCCACTCAACACTCAAAGACAGTTCTCACATGTACGGGGTTTATGAAGGATGTTCCCAGTTACAATTCAGGTCAGAAATGCTCAGAGCCTCTCCTCAGCTCTGCTCGGTCAGTGTGACAGAGCTCTTTGGGGAATGCTGATAATGCCCACAGGATACACCACTGCCCACTAAGCTCAGCCTGAAGGCACTCAGACCTAACCCCGCAGTCAGGCATTCTCTACATGCAGCCCTTCTGGCCTGTCTGGTGCTCTGGGTATTAGTTCTACAGTTGCTGCTGCTTATGTGCCCCTGGGCCAAGGAGCTTCAATGTGCCCGGATCTCAGGGTCCACAGGACCTGCTCCACTCCTGGCTCTTATTTGATGGTAGTGAGGCGCTTCTGAGGTGCTTCATCTTGTACGCATGCTAGAGTTTTTACAATCGTAGTGAATATCTGTGAACATCCGCAGCTGAATCATGTCAAACTCTTAAGTGTCTTCTTCCACCTGCTCTGACTCAGACTCAACAGTTGTTGGCTGGGCATTAGAAAGACTTAAGGCGGGAACAGACATATTCAATAATTCACTTCACCTCACTGACCCTAGAAGCACCCGCATCCTGCAGAATGCTGCTCTAAGCTGTCAACTTCGCTTTTGCGCCCCTGGACACAGCCAACGTTCACGTAGGTGGGGACTTGACTCCACGTGCCTGCCTCCAAGTCCCATCAGGAGCACGCGCTGGCGTCTTAGGCTGCAGTCCGCAGTGACGCTCACCTGGCTTGTTTATTCCTAGGACATGTCACTAGTGCGTCTGGTCCTCAGATGGCAAGCGGCGTCAGCCTGGTCTCCTTCAACAGCCGGCCGGACGGCGTTCACCAGCGTTCCTACTCTGTCTCCGGTGCTGACCAGTGGAGTGAGGTCACGGTCATTGCCAACTCAGCCGTCAGCAGTGGTAAGAGAGGGCACAGCCCACCGAGCCGCGACTACCAGGGTCCTCAGTGAACACGCATCTGCTCGGCGGACCCGGGTGGGGCGGCAGTCGCCTCCTGTCTGTGCAGTGGGCCGTCCCACTACATCCTCCTGGTGGTCCCTCGGAGGAGTGCACTGTCATCCCCGCGTCACAGATTTGGAAGCAAGGCTGCGGAGGGCCAAGTGGCTTGCCTGGGGTCACAAGACACACGGAGGTGGCAGAGCTGAGAGCTCATGCCAGAGTTGGTGCCCCCACGCCACACTCTCCCAAAGTATGCTCACTGCTTCTCCTTCCACCACTTGTGCACACACTCAAACGCACAGCGCCCCCTTGTGTGTCAGAGTCGAACTGCGCACCAGGGCGTTTTCTGTGGTCTTGACCTTTGGGAAGCAGATCAGCAGGCCATTCTTCTGAGGCAACTTTGAGTCCTAGTGTTAACACGGTCGGATAAGCACTAGACAACAGCATCAGCCTTTGTTTAAGTGGATTCAAACACCCCACCTTTCATTAACTAGCGAAGTGCTTAACGATTTGCACCACCAGGTGCAAAATCCTTCATTAGGATTTTTGTTTTATTTTTTCCTTTTTTTTCTATCAAGGTAAATTAGACTCATTCAGCCTTTTAGCAATGTAGCGTCTGCGTCTGGGGATGGTCCCTCTTGTCCTTGGCTACTGTGCTTCCAGCACCATTGCTCTCTCTGCGTTTGCTTTTTGACACATGTGACCGGCTCCCTGGCGTGCAAGTGTGGAACCTGGCATCTTGTAGGGCGCATAGACTCTGAGACAGGTACCGCTTGTGGTTTCCTGTCTGTGACCTGCTCGCCGGTGTTTAGGGGAATCCCCAGAGTTGTGTCTAATCCATCAGACAGGGGCTGAGAGTCATTTTAGCATAATTTGTTCTAATTAAGAGGCAGGTCTTCCCCGTAGACCATAGCAGCTGCTGCAGGAACACGCCGGCTTTGGGTAAACATTATCCTCAGTTCTCGTTGCTCCACGCACGTGGGGCAGAGGCCTTCAAGGAAGATGGGTGAGAAAGAGGAGGAGAGGAAGCAGTAAAGGAAACTCTGTGTCTCCAGGGGCTGTGATTTAGGGCGGACAGATGAAATGTCACCCGGGACTCCATTCCTGGCAGGCTGCATCCCAGCACCTGTGTTCGTACTTCATTTAAGAAAAAATGATTCAGTTGGTAGTTTCTGTCTGGTTGACGTGTTCTGCCTTTAATCTGTAGTCTCATGATTCAGATCCACTGCTGTCACATGACCTCTAGGACCAAGTGGAACTGCCCCAGATAATGTCCATCTTTGTGGGGGCAGACAGCTTCATCTTTCTCCCGCTGAACGGCTGGTGAGTTTGAACTGCTGTCCATGTAGTTAGCGGCCCAATGCTTAACCCCCTAATGCCACCAGGGCACCTAGAAGGGCGTCTGAGGTCATTATAAATGAACCAAAAGCCAAAAACCAAACCCGCTGCTGTTGGGTCCATTCCAACGCGTGGGAAACCCGTGGGTTGCAGAGTAGAACTGAGCTCCAAAGGGTTTTCTTGACTCAGAAACCTCTCGCCAGGTCTTTGTTCTGCAGAGCCACTAGGTGGGTTTGAACTGCCAGCCTGTAGGTTAACAGCTGATGGCACACTTGTGCTACCCAAGCTCCGTGAGTTAATCACAAATGGGGGTATCCCTTGGTAATCAAGCCCAGGTGCAGCTGGTGAAAATGGTGCATCTGACTCTGCACTGCCCCCTGCAGGCCAGACGGCTTCAAGCTGTAGTCTCCCTCTGCAAGCTCAGTCATCTGTGAAATGGGCCAACCAACTCCTCCCTTAGCAAAGTTGTGACTTCTGTTATTTGAACATTTGTGACTTGTATGAGCATTATGGTTTTTTAGGAGGTACGGCTGGTCACCCCCTTAACTCTTTAATTATCAAATGCTTGTTGTTAAGTGTCTTCAAGTCAGTTCCGACCCTTAGTGACCCTGTTTAGGGTTTCTTAGGAGTGACTGGTGAACTTGAACCACCGACCTTGTGGTTCAAACTGACATTGCAGCATTAACCCACAGCGTCACACCAAGACTCCACAATCAAATGCTGGAAGGCGTCTATTGTTTTTTTCTGTCAGTGAGAGTCTTCCCATGCCAGTAGGCTAAATTCCTCCCCTCCCCTTCACAGAGGGTGCTCCCAAGTAGCCCTGTCATGGCGCCTAGGCCCTGCCTTGGGGAACAGCTCCATTCTAAAGATTTCCTTCTGAAAGATGTCACCAATATAGCATGGGTATAGCAGCAATTTTTAGGATGCTACAGGAATTATATTGGGAGGGTGACTACCAGAGCAATTTCCCTAAAGAGACCATCACCCCAGATTTTTGCATCCCCTGCTGTAGAGTACTTTTATAGACCAGGCATGCTGTTCTGTCTAAAATCCCTTCTGCACAGCTACCTCTTGGGTAAAGATTCATAGATAACCTTCTCTGCTACCTAGCTCCTTGTGTTTCATTTTACAGCGAAACCTGTGAGAGTGAGAATGCCTTGTATTTCTGGGTGTTGGAAGATCTCCCCTGTGACAGGTGCAGTCTTAACCCTTTTCTTACCACTCTCTTTTGGGGAAGTCTTTGCACCCTCTTTCTGGGACGGTTTCCCACCTTGTACAAGGTTCAGCTGTCACAGGTCTTACTGCAGATGAATACAGTTTGAGTCACCACATCACCAAATCACGAGGCTGCATTATTGCCAGACCCTCGATTTAGTAGGAAGTTGCTTTTCGCAGAAATTGATTTGCTTTTGTCTACAGACACCTGTTTACACAATGCCTGTACCAGGCTGAAGATCCCTGGGTGTGTGTGACGTAAAGGGTTTGTTTTTTAAAAGTTTTTGTGAATTGAGTGAAAATTTACAGGGCAGATCATCAGTGTTACATTCAACAAATCATATACTCTGTTCCATTACAATGATTATAATCCCCTCCATTTTCCATCAGTTAACCGTATTTCTCTATATTCATTTTAGCTCTTTTTTTTTTTTTTTCTTTTTTAAACACTCAGGCATATATAATAATTTACACCACCAAAGGGCACATTCAGCAAGCCTGCTTCCTTGCCACCAGCTCTCAGTCCCTCTCTTTCCGTGAATCTAGAGTCCTCAGCTGCTCACTCTCTCCATGTCACCATCTCTGCCTCCATCTCTGGTGTTGCTGCTTCTCTGGAAAAGGTGTATTGCATTCCTCTTGTGCTCTTCTCCCTGATGGTCCTAGGGTCCTCTGTTTCTGGACTGTAAGATTGACTACTCTTCTGTTTTTGATATAAAACTACTTCCTTTACAGTTGTGACAGTCACAATTAGTCATGATAACAATTACTCACTATTGAATCATAAGTATCTTATCCCCATCTCTTTCTACCAGACCCATCTAGACTAGATGAAAACTCTTCAGTGAGGACTGTACTTTGCCCCACACTCTCTTAAACTAAACTCTCTCTTGAAAACTTGCAAGCCAGTCACTTTGTGCCTTTATCGCCTCCTCATTTTAGCTTGTTGCTGTTAGATGTCATCTAGTCAGTACTGACTCATAGCAACGCTGTGCACAACAGAACAAAACACTGCCTGATCCTGGGCCAATCTAACAAGTGTTGTTATGCATGAGCCCATTTCACTGGGGGTCTTCCTCTTTTTCTCTGACCCTCCACCTTACCAAACATCTCCTTCTCCAGTGATGGTCCCTCTTGACAACATGTCCGAAGTATGAGAGACAAAGTTGGGCCATCTTGGCCTCCAAGGAGCACTCTGGCTACACTTCTTCTAAAATGGATATATTGGTTCTTTTGGCAGCCCATGGCACTTTCAATATTCTCCTCCAACACCATAACTCAAAAGCATCAGTCCTTCTCTGATCTTCCTTATTCACTGTCCAGCTTTCACATGCTTATGAGGTTATTGAAAATACCATGGTTCAGGTCAGGTGCACCTTAGTCTTCAAGTTGACATCCTAGCTCTTCAACACTTTAAAAAGATCTTATGCAGCAGATTTGCCTAATGCAGTGCATGGTCTGATCTCTTGACTGCTGCATCCATGAGTGTTGATAGTTGATCCAAAAAGAATGAAGTGCTTCACAACTTCA